CCTCTTACTTAATTGGCCTCTCAGAGTTGGTAAGACAACTCCCACCTGTTCATGCTGTCTGTATGTGTGTGTATATATCTCCTCAATATATGTTCCACTTTATATGCATCCGAAGAAGTGGGCTGTAGCCTACGAAAGCTTATGCTCTAATAAATTTGTTAGTCTCTAAGGTGCCACAAGTACTCCTGTTCTTTTTGCTTATACATTGTACCTGATAAACATACGGGGTGTGTTGACACTACAGGGGAGTATCCAGCTTGGGAGTTCAAGGTCTTGCAGGGGATCCTCTCCCAGGAAGTTTGTTTTGACAACACCTAGTTCAATGGGCGATACCCTAAAGACAAACATTTGCTTTCCAGAAGCGTTGTTGAGTCCCAGGGATAGGGTACCTCTGGCAGGGATGATTTAACAGTGCCCAGACATGGGGAGAATCTCTGAGTGTCAATCCAAATTCCTCTGTAACCTGATGGTGCCCTCTTGAGAACAGCCTGACTAGAGTGGTGCAATACAGCAGAGCAGGGGTCAGCAACCTTTCAGAAGCGGTGTGCCGAGTCTTCATTTATTCACTCTAATTTAAGGTTTTGCGTGCCAGTAATACACGTTAACGTTTTTAGAAGGTCTCTTTCTATAAGTCTTTAATATATAACTAAACTATTATTGTATGTAAAGTAAATTAGGTTTTTAAAATGTTTAAGAAGCTTCATTTAAAATTAAATTAAAATGCAGAGCCCCCTGGACCGGTGGGCAGGATCTGGGCAGTGTGAGTGCCACTGAAAATCAGCTTGTGTGCCGCCTTTGTCACGCATGCCATAGGTTGCCTACCCCTGCAGTAGAGAATCTGGCCCTTTGTGACTGATTTGCAAAGGCTAGGGTGCTGGATATCATTACGAGCGTGTAGGTAGATTCTTAAACCAAACACTCTGATAGCAAGTTCTTTTCTTGTCTCCATTTGCAGCTTTATCATTTTGGGGCCAAATGCTGATCTCAGTTAGAGGGTGTAAATCCAGAGTAACGCCTTTGGCTTTGGTGGAGCTTATTTGGCATTGCACCTGTGTTCATGAGCGCTGAATCTGGCTATGTGAGTCTAGTTTGATCCCACTATTGGATTATAGTCAAACTTTTCTACTCTCTGTTTCTGAAGTTTGCTCTGTTCAGTTTAGCTTAGTTTCACTTACATTCCCCAGGTTCTCTGTCTCTCTCGTGCTTAGACACACTGACACCATATTCTTTTGCAAATCCAATAGAAGTTATTTTTTTCATACTCCAGAGCATGAATAGACACTTTGCTGGTAGCACATGGTAATAGTTAGATAGCAAAAGAGACAAGAAATGTTTGTGTCTGAAGAACATAAAAATTCGGAAGTCAAAAATCATTCCTCCGAGGAGTGATGTATTATTTAGACAATGGGTGTGATTTTCCCCTGCATTGAGATACTTTGCATTGTCCCACCAACAGAAAGCAGCCCTAAGGCTGATGTAGCTATCCAGGGAATGCTTGCTGTGATGTGTCAGAGCCACCTGTTGTGATGTAGACCCAGTATATCTGATCCTTGGCTACCCTCTTCCCAGCCCTCTGCATAGCTTCCCAACCGCTGAGAAGAGGGTGGACCCAATCATATTCTTTTCCCCTTGGGAAAAGGGGTGTGACCAAGGGAAAAGGGCATGCCTGGGGGGCGGGCTCCCCATATTAGCTCCTTAGGGAAGTTGGCAGCTAGTGCAAATGATAGCAGCTGCCAGCATTTGGCCCTCTAATTGACACCATGGGACTGGCCCACAGACAGCTGATGGTTGGAAGGTTACATAGGTGACTTAGAGCAAACTTTGTGTGCATGCACACCCGCATACACACACACACCCTTCCTTTGTTGTGCTGTGTGCTTCTCAGCTACAGACCATGACCTGGGCCACTGAATTCCCTTTCCAGGGGGTGAGGCTGACAGAGCGGTTCTCCTGATCTGAGCAGCTTGCGCAGAGAGGCTTTGCATCATCAGTATCTCACAGAGCTGAGCGCACAAGTCCCTAGGCACCGCCACGAGCAGGGAAGCACAGGAGTAGAAGCGTGACCGGTGGATGGGGCTGAGCCACCTACACAGCCCTGCCCACCAGGGCAGGTGGAAACTGAGGCAGTAGTAGTGTCTGCAGAGCGCCTGAGGTGGGGAAATTGGTTCCTCCCCCTTTCCCACAGAACTCCCCCACCTCACACAGCACGTCTGAGCGCAGGGACGAGGGGTTTGGCCCATGGTGAGTAGGAATCGAGCTTGAGTGGCTTGTCAATTTCTGTGGAACGCAGGGAGTTGACTCCTCGTCCAAATGCCATCTGTGTGAAGCATGTGACTTTGTAAGCTGCTGCTTATGCTTGTCAGGGAAAGTGCCACGCTCTGCTATTTCTACTTGAGAGTTTTCCTCATCGTTTGTGTGTGATTAAGAATAGGGCGTATTTTCCCCATAGCCAAATACAGTTTGACTTGGCACAGTATTAAATGGGCATATGTCCTCCTCTGCAGCTTCTGGTACAAAGCTGGACATTTCAGACACAGGGAATCCCAAGTCCTGAGTGTTATACAAGTCTGGAAATTAAAAAACAAAAACTTAAGGCCAAGCGTAGGCATAACTTTCAAAAATAACTGGTGATTAAGAGGCCTGATTTTCAAACAACACTGAGCACCTGCACTCTGAAAAAAAAAGGCCCCTTAAAGGTGCCTTATGTTGGACAGGCCTAAACTATGGCATCCCAAATCATGAATCTTGCCCAGGATTTTCAAAAATAAGAGACTATATTTAGGCTGCTTAATCCACAGGCAGACAGATTTTCAGACCTGCAGAACATCCCAGTCTTCCTCCAACGGTGCTGTCACCTAGCCAGATCATGTGTTTGATAACATAGTCTTCCAACCAAAAATATCTAATCCCATGGTGAGCATGCCTGAAAACTCCTATAGCCCCCCTGAGGTAAACTAATTTAAAAGGTCAGAGGAGGGGAAAAGCAGAACATTCAGAACTCTGATACTACAGGTGAGGCATAAGATATTGTCCAGAAAGGGAACAGATTAGGCACCAAATGCATGAAAGAAAGATTAAGCTTCTTTTCAAGGCCTTCAGTTACTAATCTCACTTTACAGGAAGGTTTTAAATTAGTAAAAGGCTGCTGGAATTAATCACAACAAACACAGAATGATTATGAAACACAGGAACAATAAGACCTCTATATCATCATCTTCATTTCAACTGATCTCTCTTTCTCGCTAGAATATTTTTAAGGCACCAGTTACTGAAGTGCCTACTGCCTTTCTCTCTTACTCTCTCAGACAAATGTAATGGACATTTTAGGGATTTAAAAATTAGACTCCTGAACGCTTCCACATCATTAAAACAATGTAATAAATAGTAGTACTTGGGTAACACATTTCATCAACTGATCTCCAAATACTTTGCTAAAATAGCGACAGATTAGAATCTTCACTTTACAGGTGGGGAAACTGAGGCACAGGGCGGTGGGGCCACTTCCTCGATGAATACTTGAAGTCAGTCGCTTCTTAATGCTCACTCCAGCTATTTCAGTTTGCAATAGGTTTGGTGTTGACCAAATGTTCTCCCTTATGCTAAATCTGTGTTTTCTCTTTTTTTATTTTTTTGCAAGGATTATGAGTACCCTCTTCATTCTCACAGCGCCCACTACCAGAAGAATGACCGCTGCCCCCCACCCCCGCAGACTTTACCAGAGCGAGCATGTGAGGTGCCCAGCTGCCGTTCAGATTCCGAATGTGAAAGACACAAGCGTTGTTGTTACAATGGGTGCATCTATGCCTGCTTAGAATCAGTACAGCCACCTCCAGGTATAGTGGGCTGTGAGATCAAACTGCTTCAGAAAGAAATGTCCACAATGTTGCCCAGATACAAATAGAAACAGCTGCAATAACAATGTTAGGCTGTAAACCGGGGGTATATCCCCATCTATATTAGGTCTAAAATAGGACTTGGGGTTTGAGCCTGAATGAAGAGCTAAGCTTTGGTTCCGTGGCGGTGAATAGCTGAAAGCTGCCCTGGTGTGATTTTTGGCTCACGAGAGAGGAAGTTACACAGGATCTGTTGGTCTTGCAAGATTTCCACCAACTTGAATGGCAGAAATCACGAGATCAGTTATTTTCACTGTATTATACATTAGCCCAAGCTCATGGCCACATGGCTGGTAATGAGAGCGAGTGGACAATTTTTGAATTTTCAAAATTTAAGTGAAAACTTTGAAAAAAAACCTGAGAACATTTTTTTGCTGGTCTTCAATCAGTTTGGATTTTTCCAAAATTCAAAATGATGACAAAAAGTGTTTGGAAAAGGTTTTCTGCATTTTTCGACCAGTTCTGCTGGTCACCTTTTTATAGGAAAGACCAAACTGCTTTAACCAGCTACTTGCCAAAGTCAGAGATTTTGATTATTGTTGAGAGCAAGCTTCAGGACAGTCATTTTTTTTTTTATTCTAGTGGATACTCTTAATGTTGCAATGTATTTAGTCTCTGCCTGTAGATGAATTTATTTGAAAAGTTTGAGCAAAATCCTTTCTTCTGTTTCCAAGTTAAGGGAGAGTTCAAAGAGATCTTCTTTTCCAACTGTGAAATAATTCTAACACCATATTTTTAAAGAGACGGGTGGTCTACACTTACTGCAGCGTGTACAGATGCTGCATGCCCAGTTAGTACAGGTATAAACAGCAGCGTAGATGGTGAGGCA